AGACCATCGCTTACTGACATATCACTCGATTCATCACTACCGATACTACTGGTCACTCCATTATCTTCAATTATATATATTAGGACAAAGCGTGACCTCATTTGAAAGCGTGACGAGAGGACAACCTAAATGTTAAAATATCACCAAGATTTTAAAAGCGTAACCAAGCGAGACTACGCGTGACGTGATGCGGCTATAAGTGTCGAAACGTCAAAAAATTTTCAAAACGTTACCTAACCTAACAACATACACTAAACAAACCTAACCTAACCCAATCTAACCTAACCTAAACCAAAATAACTTAACATAACCCAACCTATCTTAACCTGACCTAAGAGAACATTTATAACCTAACCCAACATGTCGAAACGGAATCTAACGTCTTGCAAAGTAAGCAAAATAAATCGATCCTTACGTAACATAACTTAAGCGTGCCGAAGCGTGACTTAGTGACCATGCGTGCAAAAGCGTGACCAGGCGTGACCTGCTTTCACCTCGTGTGAAGGGATCACCATATGTGTCGAAACGTAACGAAGATATACAAAGCGTGACCAAACGTTACCAAGCGCGATAAAGGGTGACTAGGCGTAACGAACTGTAACGGCGTGACGAATTGTGGCCATAAGTGTCACAACGTCACTGAAATTTTCCAAACGTTACAAGAGGTCACCATAATAATTATCAAAACGTTATCCAACCTAACAAAATCCACTAAATAAACTTATCCTAACCTAACCAAACCTAACCTAACCTAACCTAACCTAACCTAACGCAATCGAACCTAACCCAACGTAACCTAACCCATCATAACCTAACCTAAACTGTCATAACCTCATCTAACTTATTACAAAGTAGCAGAAATTAACCGAGCCTTACGTAACACAACGTAAGCGTGCCGAAGCGTGACTTAGTGACCACGCGTGCCCAAATGTGACAAAGCGTGACGTACTGTAATGGCGTGGCGTGATGTAACCAGAAGTGACGAAACGTGACGAATAATTACAAAGTCTGACCATGCGTGACGAACTGTAACGGCGTGACGAATTGTGGCCATAACTGTCAAAACGTCAATAAAATCTTCCAAACGTTACAAGAGGTCACCATAAGTGTTAAAGTACAACGAAGATTTTAAAAGCTTGTCAAAGCGTGACCAAGCGTGTCTAAGCGTGACTTACTGTAGTGGCGTGACGTGAAGCGGCTATAAGTGTCCAAACGTGTCGAATAACCGATAGTGGATCAGCTTCTCAACATATTTCCGGCCTTTTACCGACACCGTGTTCTAACTTTCCGCAACTGAACACTGCTCAGAGTCGGATGAATGCAGTCCACAACACACTTTTCTTAGACGAACTTTGACATTATCCTCGCCCTACTCCATGGCCTTCCAAGAGGTCTCTAAATTCAGTACGTTCGATTAAAATCGTGTACAACATTCTCGTCTCTCCATGCGTGCTACATATACAGCCTATATCATCATCCTTAATATTGTCGCCATTTTTGTTCCATTACCCTTGGCACTTTGCTGTTTGTGTCTGTTTTGACAGTGAGCCGATGTTCTTGTGTGATGTCAACACCACGGCGCTCACAGGGTAGAGACGCTACCTCTGTCTCTCCATTTTATGTCTGAGGTGGTAAGGTTTCCGAGCTTCACCCAGTGTTCCAAAAACCTGGTGGAGCCCGTACCATGGACGTTTGTTTCTGGTGAAACTGACAAAGATTTCGCCTTGCGACGTGTTCACCACCGTCTTTGTCCTCGCACACTCCGAATCTGTCATCTTCATTTACAAGAAGCCAAGCTCCTTATCCAATGACCTTGAACCATTTCCTTCCACTCTTATTTATGTTCTTCATTTGCAATAATGTTGCCATACTCCATTCCAGGCTGCATGTCCTGAACTGCCGAGAGACATCTGTAAAGTACCAAT